AAAAAAAAAAAAAAAATTAGGATGAATTATCTGAAGTTCAACAATGGTTTAAGAAGTTCAAGAAGGTTTTTTATTCACTTACTCATTCAATCGAATTGGAAAACATATAAAATGTCATGCTATCAATGCTATAAGCATTAAGTAACATTCCCCACCTTTTCTGAATTGTCTACCAGTATGAATATTGATATTGCAAACACAAAATGACAAATGAAGGCTTTCTTATGTTTTCTGAATTACATTATGAATTTTCTACTATAAGAAAGAGGAGAATATTTTCTAAAGGCCTAACAACATCTTTACATTCAAAAGTTTTTTACCAGCATAAATCCTCTGATGATCAACAACGTTTGAACCATACATAGAGGACTTCTCACATTCCTTACATTCTTAGGATTTTACACCCATATGCTTTCTCTGATGTGCTTTAAGGGCTGAACTATATCTAAAGGCCTTCCCACATTTTTTACATTTAAAGGGTTTCTCGCCAGTGTGTACCCTCTGATGTTCAGTAAGGAATGAATTAAGTCTGAAGGCTTTCCCACATTCCTTACATTCAAAGGGCTTCTCACCAGTATGAACACTCTGATGTCCAATAAGTTGTCCATAAACAGTAAAGGCTTTCCCACATTTGTTACATTCATAGGGTTTCTCACCAGTATGAATTCTCTGATGTTGAACAAGGTATGAGCCAGAACTAAAGGCCTTTCCACATTCCTTACACTCATAGGGCTTCTCGCCGGTATGAATTCTCACATGTTGTACAAGGTATGAGCCCCGACTAAAAGTCTTTCCACATTCCTTACATTCATAGGGCTTCACATCAATGTGAATTTTTTGATGCTGGGTAAGATGTACGTGTACTCTAAAGGCCCTGCCACATTCCTTACACTCATAGGGTTTCTCGCCAGTGTGAACCCTTTGATGTACAGTAAGTTGATGGCGACTAATAAAGGCCTTGCCACATTCTTTACAGTCATAGGGTTTCTCACCAGTATGAATTCTCTGATGCTGAACAAGGTATGAGCCAGTACTAAAGGCCTTGCCACATTCCTTACACTCATAGGGTTTCTCGCCAGTATGAAGTCTTTCATGTTGAACAAGGTATGAAGCACGACTGAAGGCTTTCCCACATTCCTTACATTCATGGGGCTTTACCCCTGCATGGATCCGCTGATGTGCATTAAGAAATGAACTAAGTCTAAAGGCCTTGCCACATTCCTGACATTCAAAGGGCTTCTCACCAGTGTGAATACTCTGATGTCGAGTAAGTTGTCCATACACAGTAAAAGCCTTCCCACATTCCTTACACTCATAGGGTTTCTCACCAGTATGAATTCTCTGATGTTTAACAAGGGGTGAACTAGTACTAAAGGCCTTCCCACATTCTTTACATTCATAGGGTTTCTCACCAGTATGAATTCGCTGATGTTGAACAAGGTATGAAAAGGTACTAAAGGCCTTCCCACATTCCTTACATACAAAAGGTTTTTCACCAGTGTGAGTACTCTGATGCCGGATAAGTTTTCCATACACTATAAAAGCTTTCCCACATTCCTTACATTCATAGGGTTTCTCAACAATGTGAATTCTCTGATGTTGAACAAGGTATGAACAGGCACTAAAACCCTTCCCACATTCCTTACATTTGTAGGGTTTCTCACCTGTATGCAATCTCTGACGTATAGTGAGTTGATAGCCATTATTAAAGTTATTCCCACATTCTTTACATTTGCAGGGTTTTCCACTGGTATGTATTCTGTCATGCTGAACAGACTTTGAGCCTTGACAAAAAGTCTTCCCATGTTCCTGACATTCACATGGTTTCTCTTGATTAAGAACTTTCTGATGTAGGGCCAAAGATGTACATTTTTCAGAAGTAGGCATTTCCTCATAGCTGATTATCTCTTCCTTCAAATGCAAGTCTGAAAGAAAATAAAAAACAAAAATATTTGATTTTTCTATATGAGAAAAAATGGATTTCTATGGAAGAAAAGAAAAAAGTTGAAAATAACATCAGTTAGAAATAGCTTAAATAATACTAAAATACAGTTATAAAACTCAAAACAGGAAGAATGCAGAGATTAATGATTTTATGTATTAATAAATCAGTAAGGTTGGTGATTAATGAAATAGTTTTCATTTCTGATATTTGGGTGTGGATCAAAATCTTTGAAGAGCTTGTTAAAAAACTGATGTTCAAGCACCATCCAGACCCGCTGACTCAGAACACACAGGGGAGTTCCTGGGCATCAATATTTTTAACATTTCTAACAAATGCAGATGAAATCTGATGCAGATGAAATTTTTATAACTCATATTTCATCCCTGCCCCACCACCTGGCTTCTCTTTGCACTTAAATTAAAATCCATTTATCCTTCCAAAATAATATGGCCCCTGCCTACCTAGGAGGCCTCAAGCCATAGCTCCCTTGGTTCCCTATTCACCTGACCTCCCCCTTTCGGCACCTGGAATTTGTCACACATGTTCTCATCTTTTTGTTCACGTGCAGGTGGTGTTATCTCCCCAAAATCTTTTGGCCTGTGCTGTTTTCAGACTGGATCTTTCTCATCCTCTGTATGTTTAAGGTAAAATGTCACTTTACAAGGAATATTGTAAACTGCTGACTTTGT